AGATGAGCAACAAAAAAATCCCAATGACAGAACTAAAAGAAGAGGGGGGGGGGGAAGTGAGGTAAGAGAAAGGAGATGTTAACGTGTAGAATGAAAAAATAAAGGAGCAGGGAAGTTAAAAGGAAGGGGAAGTGATCAAAAAGTATATAAGAAATGAAAGAAAATATATAAAATATTTTTAAAAATTATAAAAAAAAAACAACGTGTTTTAAACCCAAAATGGTCAAAAGAGTGAGCAGGGGAAAAGAAAAGAAGGAAGAACGGATGGAGCAAGGGAAGAAGGGAAAACACAACTGGGGGGTTAAAGGTGGAAAATGAGAAAAAGAAAGAAAGAAAGACAGAAGGAAGGAAGGAACGAAAGTAAGGAGACTAAAAGGAAAGAAGGACGGAGCAAGGGGGGACTGAAGGAAGCACAACAAGGCATGCGAAAAGGGGTGGGAAGGAACGAATGAGTAGACATGTGTGAACAAAAAGGGGAATGAAAGGATAGGAAAGAGGCAGTAAGAAAAAAAGAGAGGAAAGACCCTAGAGTGAAAGAAGAAAGGGAGCGAACTAATTCATTTTCACGTCGTCGCTTCTGTCCCGTGCAGGCTCGCTGTGCTGCGCGAAGATCGTCAGAAAACTCGTTTAGGCTGCCGTTAACCCTCAAACCGTCAATACGCACGGCACATTCTTCAACACGCTGAGGTTTAACGCCACCGGCGGCCCATCCCGCGCCTTACAGGCAGAGCTGCCCCGAGCACACGACAGAGAAGCACCCAGCGGGGCATCACAGGCACCGAGTGCGCTCGACAGGCACCTGAGGGGAGGTGAAAAACGCGCCTGCGGTACGTACCGGTCGAGGACCATGGACAGCGCCGGCAACTGCTCAGAAGCGGATCAAAGGAGCCAGCTGTGCTCGTTTTATAATGGCAGCAGCTTGTGTGGGAACTTCACCGACAACACAAGCTTCCCCGAGGGGAGTAGAGGGAACATGGAAATCGACGCCAATCCGGTTATCATAGCGATTGCCATCACCGCTCTTTACTCCATAGTGTGCGTCGTGGGGCTGGTTGGAAACGTGCTGGTCATGTATATCATTGTCAGGTAAGGCGATTAAAAAAAAGAATGAAAAGAAAAAAACTCTTACACTGGTTTGAGTGGATGTTTGTTCTCAGACTTGTTGCACACAATCAGAAATGACTTCCAACATTAATTCACGGGTGTGTGTTTTCGTCGTGTGTTTTTATGAAGCCGTGGGAAACCATGTGCTTGCGGTGTTGACAGCGCTGCGAGCACAGCTGCCGTTCGTGCGTAAAAATGCCTCCAACAACGCAGCAAATTGCTACAGCGCCAAAACCCGAGCTGAGCGAAAGGAAAGGAGGGAAAGAGAAAGAGTGAAGGGAAGAGGAGGTGTGCACAAAACACACTACTTTTCACTTTAAAACAGTGGCAGCTGACATCTCTTCATCTGTCGCTTTTAACCACGAGCAAAAATGATGTGATGCTGTGACGTGATGACAGCACGCGCCATGTAAGTCTCGTGCGAACGCAGACTCCCCGTTCAATGCTGCTACCTTCTTGTGCGCAAAGGCGTCGGTGTCTTGTGTTCGAGCAAATTCAGCGAAAGTCTAGAAATAGTTGGGAATGGTGTTAAAGCAAACACCTGCTAATATAAAGCCTGCAAGTGCTAAAAGTTAAACAGGTTGCCCGGCTCTGAATCCACACATTAGATGAGCAGATTTGTGGATATTTGCTTTCTAAAAACACACATAAGCTATATGTTCAAGCATGTTCTCTGTTGCTTCTTACGTATAGATAACCAACCTCCTTGCCAAATTTCATATATCATGTTCACGTCTCACTGATACATCTATCTAAAATGCCTTCCCTTCATGGGGTCAGCTTTTATCATTTCAATCACTTGGTACAAGAAGCACAGGGTGATCATACATGTTTAGTCCTACAGACTTAAAATCCGAGGCCACTTGCCTTTTTATTGTCAGTGTAGACCAACTGGAATAATAGAAATAGTCTTAGTTTCATTGTGTTCATTGGTTCACCACTGATTAAAAAAAACTTCCACCTACCCCACTGTCAGAAGCAGGATTTCACTGGCCTTTAATTACACATGAACTCCTGACATTTATATCAGTTAAATGCTCCCTGGTGTTGTGGATTTGTTTATATATATATATATATATATATATATATATATATATATATACTTGTATCCATTTTATATATACACCTGCACTGGAGTTTTTATATAATGGAATCACTGTGATAAGCATTTAACCTACATGTTTGAAATCACAAGACCCACACATCTGGGTCAAATATTATCCACAATTATATTAATGAAGTTTGTGCCACTTGTTGTATGAGCATATGTGATTAATACTGTCTGAAATGAAGTAATTAGGATCAACAAGTAACCTTTCATTGTCTTATGGCCAACGGTGACAAGTCCAAACAGGGTTAAATAAACTTGGCCCTGCTAAGATGCACCTGGGAGCCTCTCTGCCTGTCTTCGTTGCCAGAAGGTGGTGAACCGCCCATCTTTAACCAATATGGTAAACAAACTTGGCCCGGCTGAGAGTGCACCTGGGACACTTTTTGCCCATCTCCGTTGCTCAAAGTTGTGAGAAACCTTTCCTTAATGGATATAGTGGCAAACCCCAGGCAGCAAACCTGACAAAGTTGTCAGGAGGATTCATTGTTTTGTCTCTGCAATCGGTTTGATATCTGTAGTTTTGCTGACTTTTGGACTCGATCTGGCCATAAAACTGTCAAAAGGATCCAATTAAAAATGATAGATGCTGGGAACAGTGCTCAGAAAGTTATGGAGTAGTGCCAGAAAGTTGTGTAACGCAAGATTAAAGAAGGGACAAAGTGCAAATTGACAACTGATTGGGGAAAAGTATTGACAAATATATTACATCAATAATTGGGGGTGTTGTGTAGAGTTAGAAAATACTTATTAGTTTAAATTTAATTCGGTCACTGACCCTATGAAATGATGGGTCAGATGCCATCTTTTAAAATTTGCAACTCAACACTAGCCACTGGAATGCTATCTTATTCCAAACGAGGCTCGTTTAGGTAATAAAAAGAAGCTGGACTGGTGGAGCAGGATGAGGATGTAAAAAGCAAGAATACCTTAAGGGCTGAGGGAACAAAAACTGCTTGGCAGCCAGTGGTGAAAGTTAGGAGTGATTGCCTGCTTAATTGGTCCAGTAGAGTCATTGAAGTGTGACAGTGCAGAGAATTTGCCTTCATGCAAGTGATTGCCGAGGTGACTTCTCTGGCTATGTTGACTCCCTTCACCGCTAATAGAATATATAACACTTAGAATTCTTCTCACTTGTCCACTAATTCAAGGGCAGGTGAACGCTCATGCACACATCATCCCCACACTAATTGCAGTCTAATTGCTTCCTGAAATACATCTGTTTTCCTAAAGAATGCGCACATCTACGCCGGATGTTTTTTCCTCTCTCCCTTTTTTTCCCACATCTGTGCCGGATGTTTCCTGCACCAAATCACTTGCAGCGAATCTTCTCCCCTCTGCCTCCATAGCAACAAACCTGAGTGAAAAACAAAGGAAGAACAATGCAAAACTGTAAAATGTCTTCTGATGTCTGGCATTTATCAGTTGGTGTGTTAAAGCCATCAACACAGACTGTATATGGTGAAGGGCATCACTTTCTCATCCTTGGCTGTTTTACCAAAGCATAATAAAAAGGAACCCACCCAATGATCCCTGGCTCCTCTCCATAGTAATCAGAAGGCTGTAAGTCCTAATCCTGACAGGCAGCCTGGAGCCTGCACAGGCACTTCTGTGACCGAAAAAGTTTTAAGGATTTTTGCAACTTTTTGAGCAAATGAGACTTTGTGGGAATTGCAAGGACGCTAGAAAATATGTTTAATTTTCACAAAAACCACAGTCCACCAGGGTCATTAGCATTCATTATTCTCTTTGTCTTTCTCCCCTTCTCTGCATGTCTTATGCTCTTTTCTTTCTGTCAGCAGATTGAGAGTGAACTGCCATTTAGCTAATGATACACTGTGGATTTACTTGCAAACAGAAATGTAGTCTTGAATTCTCTGTCCCCATCGAGTCATAGTTGAAAGTAGTTTGTTGAAATTAAAAAAGAGATATCAGCTGCTGAGGGATATTTTCTCCCGCTTGCAGTCTGAATAATGATAATCTTAATGCTAAAATTTTTTATCTCTCTTTCACTCTTTATCTCTCTGTCCTCTTGCTGACTCTTATGGCCCTTCACAAAACTCTGCAAACATCTGCAAACATCCGCAAACTTCTCGCAAGCAAACAGACATTAACAGAGATCCGCACGCTCAATCGGGAATATCGATTGCGGATGAACAGAAACTGCTGGGCTCCACAAGGAGTGTGCTGCCGGCGCTGAGTGCTTCCTGTTACCATGGAAACGCAAGGAGGTGTTTTGAGCGTGATGAGTGCAAAGTGACTCCATCACCACCAAACCGAACCCCATCTATCCTCACGAGGAGCTAGACCTAGTTGGGCACATTTATCAGCTTTCAGTGTTTCCTAAACTGTAATCGATTGAACATCTGCAGGCTGACAGGCTGACCTGCATGCATCCAACCACTGCTGCTTCCTCTGTACTGCATATAGCTCCACAACAGATGGCAGAATTCTGATGGTACTCTAACACTCTAAATTCTGCATATCCCCGTTCATACAAGAGCTTCTCTCCAGTGACATGAAACATGAAGAATCTATAAAAAACTAATTGCTTGCTCATAGCTACCTGAAAAGCTAAAACAAGATAAGAAACACACACCTTGGTATGTGCTTTATTGCTGAGCAAGCAACGGTCAAAAAGATATGCTTAACAAGCATATTTTCAAAATCTAAATGGTATTACCTTTTAAATTCAGTCTGTAAAATGCATTTTGGCCTCGCAGGCCTTATGTAAGATTTCACTTTGGTTATTCCAGAGAGATTAAATGTCTGTTTCAGAATGATTTAGACAAGTAAGTCTAGTTTTTTGTAATAAAAATCCCCTTTGTGTTAATCTTCTCTCAGCAAGAAGCACTGTAGGGAAGCATGTTTAAAACAAATCATTTCATTCTTATTTATTATATAAATAACAAACTGAGTTTACATTTTTATCATCAAATTTCAGCTTCTTAGAAGTCAGAAGTTAGTCAAGCAATGCATTCAACCACTACAACTAATTTTTCTGTTCAGGAATGCAAATAAATAACTGAATTTTTTATTATGTGTTCTTTTTTGTGAAACTATGAGTTTGAAAATTCAGAGATTATTTATTATAATAATGATATTTTAGATTTTTAAAAATCCTTTCTGTTAACGAGCTTGTTCATACTGGTAGAGCTACCATTGCACCTGATGGTGGCCAAATAAATGTTATGCACTATGTTTGTGGACGCAGCAGCTCCTTTAAAACAGCTGCATTTTGTGCAGAATAAAAATCTGACATTGTGTTACAGATAGTAACCAACAATTAGCAGGAAGTGGATTGTTCAGGAGGAGAATGACCTGTACCTCATTAATACCAAGTTGGTTGCTGGGTATGCATACTGAAAAAGGCGAAAAACTGCAGGAGCCCTCAAGATTGACTTGTTTTTCTCTAGATCTTAAATGTTCTCTCTGATGAGTGTCGGTAGGTTGTGGTGGCTTGGGAAGCAGACACCTTTCATGTGAATTTTTGAGCATCCTCATGCATGATAGATGTGACTTCTAAAGCCTCTTTATAAAACAGATTTGTGAGAACGTTTGATCTTCCTGTAACTTAAGCACAAAAACCACATATAAAATTTTAAGCACTTTGATCTGAAAATCTCCGTAGGGGTATTGCATATGCGTCCCAGCCTGTGGTGAACTGTATTCAGGGACACTCTAATGAGCTTGATATTTAGCTTCGTTTATCTAACCAAATATTTTTTCTCCCACTAAATGGTATGTGCTGCCTGGCTTTTTCTTCTTCTCGTTTTAGTTTATGGCTATATTTGGGCTGATGTTATATAAAAACAAATCATAATTCAGATGCTGTCAGTTGAGGCTGATTTAAGATTTACAGATTAGAGCTGCA